CTTTAATTAAAAGTTAAGGAGTAGATTATGTCATTGATATTTGATATAGTGGAGATAGCAAAAATGGGTACATCACCCCCTCTCTATTGTCCAAATAAGGCAAAAAAAAAAAAAAACTACAGAAATCTATCATTAGAAAAAAGTTTTATGCAGAGGTTATGCAGAAATCTTTATTTTGATCTAGGAATTCCAAATTCTTTTGCTGTCCCAGGAATATGTAAACTACCACAAATTAAAACTGTTGAATTAGAGCATATTTTTTTGGTCTATGAATAGACTCAAACAGGTTAAATGAGTGCTCATATTTAATTATTAGTAGAATCTGGCAATGAAGCTTAAATTTAAAAATTATGAGACACCGTGGAGAAAATAAAGAGCAATACTTCAACCTTTGCCCTTTAAGTGCTTATAGTTTTTTAAGGAAAAATAGGCATGTGAAAAAATAACTTCAGCATAAGGCATAATGCAATATTTTGCATGCAAGAGAAATATTTTGAGAATGCAGGGGCAGAATAAACACCCTTTGATCTGGAGGCAGAAGCTGGTGGAAAGGAATAATGAGGACACAGTATTGGAGATAATGTTAGGTATGAATGGAGGAGGTTATCTTTTAGCTGAGACTTGAAAAATGATTAGAAATTGAAAGTCAGAGAGAAGGAGAGGCAATCATAAAGCCAGCAATTAAGCCTATTAGCCAAGGTAAGATTCACAAGTGTAAAACCCTAAATGTAATAGTTCAATTGGCTGCTGCATTGGTTTGAAGGAGTGACATGGGAATGAAACGTGGAGATGTCCTGAAAAGCCCTGAGTGCAGAGTTGAGGAGGATCTTGAACCAAAACTGATAGGAAAAGGGAAAAGACGCCAAGGCTCTTGGGCAGGAAAATGACAAGACGAAAGTTTGGAGGAGATTCAAGAGTGTAGAGTTGACAGTATAGGAAGGGAAAACTGGAAAGACGAGTCAATAACAAGAACCCAGGTGGAAGCGAAGAGGACTAGAATAAGAGCAGCCGCTGGAGTGAGCACGTTCTGTGTTGACCCTTTTAGAGTTGCAACTACCTCATCAGTCAGGTAAGGAGAAAACTTAGGGAATGTATATCTATTAAGAAAAGTTATTGAGAGCTCTCACTTCACTTCATCTCAAACCTCAGAAAAAGTAAGAGATATGTGGGGAACTGGTAAAAGAGAGAGAGACAACGAGAGAGTGAGACTACTGCTTGGTAAGGATAGAGAACAAATTGAGCTGGATGGATGTCAGTATGGCCGTTGCCTCCTCATTCCTCTTTCTATCCCCATCTTCCACGCTTGCTGTTTACTGAGCACTGTGTGGTATAAAAAGTGAATCTGAAAGGTGGATTTCTTACCCTAAAAGGCTTGCAGGTTAATTGGTGGATAGCTGGGGAAATATATGCACTAAAAAGGACAAGCTAGAAAGTAACCCAAGAGAAGAAGACTATAAGAGTTCAGAGGAGGCAGAATTGACTTTGAAGCTAAAGTTTTCAGAAAGGAGTTCATGAAAGAGAGAGCATCTAAACTGGGTCTTGAAGAATGGATATGGTGAGGACATGGAGACTTGGCAGGGGGCTGTTCTGATTGGAAGGAGCATCACACACAAAGACATAGAAGCACAGAGCATGAGGCTGCATTGGGAAGGGAGAGGACCTCCTTTTGGCTAGAGAGTGGTTCTCGGCAGAGATGAAATACAGAATTGCCCTGGAGGCTTTAGAATATATGATGTCTGTTTTTATCCCCAAAGATACTGATTGAATTAGTCTGAATTGAAAGAGTTAGGTATCTGTACATTTCAAAAATGTAATGTACACTCAGGATTGGGACCAATGTATAGGAAGGAGAGTAAAGGCAGAGAAGCTTTGAGAGAATAACTGGACTCCAAATGTAGAAATCAAATCCAATGAGTTTTCCTGTTTGTTTATTTGTTTTCCCAGATATTTTGTCCCTAGAGAGACAGAGATGGAAAGTGAGAAATCACTCCCCAAGGGGGATAGCCATGTCACAATTCCTTCTCCATTCTCCTCTTAGGATTTTGGGCATGCAAGCACAGGCCCCCAGTGTGAATTTTAAGCTGTCAGATCCAGGACTTGAACCATGGTCAACTACATGGGAGTCCAGTGACATAATCATTATGCCATCTGCTGGTTCCCCAATGAGTTTTTGTCATTTTACACAGTTCAATAAGAATTGGTACTGGGACCAGCAGTTAGCGTAATAGCTATGTCACTGGACTCCCAGGTAGTCGACCACGGTTTGCATCCTGGACCCGGTGGCTTAATACTGACGCCGGGTGCGCGTGCCCAAGATCTCGAGAGGAGAATGGAGGAGAAGGGATTGTGGCGTGGCCATCCCCCCTGGGGGGTGATTTCTCACTTTCTGTCTCTCTGTCTCTCTCTGTCTGTCTGGCGAGCGCACATGCCCTATCACAAAAAACCCAAAAAACAAAAAACAAACAAACAAAAAACATTGGTACCATTTATGTCATGATAACTTACAACCAAAACTTCTGAGCTTGAAAATACACAAACCATTTTTAAAGAAGGTTATATTTTTCTGTTGGCTAAACTTTAGTAGTACCCATTTAGGATGCAAAAAAATATGGAAGATAAGAAATTCTATAGAAAAGAATCCCCTTTGTTTGTGTAGTGTCTACTAGAGTACTTGTTGAATGCTTTTGCTTAATAAGTGGTTGAACACAAAACAAGCCTCGCAAGCAATGTCTTAAACTATCTCAGAGAGGCCCAGCCCCAGTGGTGTAGGCAGTAGGGTACCACTGATTAATGTTAGAACTGTGAGAGCACCCGGGTTTGATCCTGGACCAGTCTAGACTTGCTGGGCACAGTGACGTGTGCTTCTAATCCTGGCTAACCGAGAAGCCAGGGCAGAGGATCATGCATGCAAGACCCTATTCAAAATACCTACATGGTGCGCTCTTCCTTCCCCACCCCCTGCCATTAAAAATAATATCTTAAAGTTATGTGGCTTCTACTAGATGTAGGACATAAGTAAAACAAAACACACTGTCACACAATAAACCTTTCTTTTTTTTTTTTTTTTTGAGAGATTTTCGCTACAGGGCGCGTGCGCTCACCAGACAGACCGAGAGAGACAGAGAGACAGAAAGCGAGAAATCACCCCCCCAGAGGGGATGGTCACGCCGCAATCCCTTCTCCTCCATTCTCCTCTTGAGATCTTGGGCATGCACGCACACACACCTGGCGTGAGTTTTAAGCCACCGGGTCTGGGACGCGAACTGCGGTCGACTACATGGGAGTCCAGCGACATAGCCATTACGCTAACAGTTGGTCCCACACAATAAACCTTTCTGGATCCATTCTGAGTGTTACAGAGTTTAGATGGCATGTTCCACTCAGATTGTGTATAGATTTTGCAGGATGTATTTTTTTTTTCTTTATGTACTAGTACCTCTGAATATTCAACAGGAGCCCAGACTCCTCTTCTGGAAATTGTTCACAACCATTCAGACATAACAATGAGCTATTTGGAATGCAAGCAGTTACCACAAGAGCTTATTATCAACATCCAGCCCACTATGGCTTGATAAGGAGCTTTCCCTGCCAATTCAGTAAAGCTTTTCCTCTTCCACTCTCCTTCTCGCACTTACCAATCAGAAGAACCTCAGACTTCACCCCTAGATAGTCAAATTGAATCCTGTTGGTATGGAGGCCCAGGAATCTATATTTCTAAAAATCTCCTGAGCTGATCATAAAGATTAGCTGGATTTGAGATTCACAGTAATACATAATGATAGTTTATTGACTATTGCTTCACCTTATTATAGGTACAGAAAGAAATCAAATTCATGTAAAAAGAATTTTGATTCAACAGTCTTTTTTTTTTTTTCTTTTTTTGGAGAGGTTTTTTATTTGTTTTTGTTTGCTTGTTTGTTTGTTTTTTTGCTATAGGGCGCATACGCTCACCAGACAGACAGAGAGAGACAGAGATACAGGAAGCGAGAAATCACCCCCCAGAGGGGATGGCCACGCCATAATCCCTTCTCCTCCATTCTCCTCTCAGGATCTTGGGCATGCACGCACACGTGCCCGGCGTGAGTTTTAAGCCACCGGATCTGGGACGTGAACCGCGGTCGACTACATGGGAGTCCAGCTACATAGCCATTATGCTAACTGCTGGTCCCTTGATTCAACAGTCTTAATGCCAAATAGTTTACATTACACATTCCTGGTACTGCACAAACAGCCTAGAAAGTATAAACCATATACCAAAGACTCTTACATAATCTCAAAAATTCAACTGCACTAAATGCTTTCTCTGATAAATGGCTGCTATTTTTCCTTACTTAATATGGATCATTACAGGAAGCTGGAGTTGGGGGTGGTACTCATGTTCGTGACCACTGCTTCATCAAAAATCACTTTGTGAAGGAGGGTTATCTGAAGGCTCAAATGAAACAATACATGTGACAGAAACTTGCACAGCATAAACTGTAAAACATGGGGTAGGCAACTCTTCTGGTTACTTTACCTTTGTATTGCCATGCCTGCACGTACCACTGGCACCATGCCTGCACATGATAGGTGCTTAGTAAACATCCGCGGAAAGAATAAATTGAATATTAAGTACTAGCTAAAGAAATGAATAGTAGGGCCAAAAACAATCCTGGAAACTTTTGAGGTTATCTTTAAAATATTTTAAATTCGTAGGCACTAGAAACATATGTAGAGCTAGAACTATTTTTAGTTAAAAACTACCATAGTAATTGGCTCTGCCTGGTGGGTGGATTAGCCCCTTTGCTAAACTTTAGTGTACTAATTCTGCATGTCCAAGACAATGCCAATGGGTTAGGTGTATGCATAAATGAACAGGCATGGTTTTATGATTTTTAAAAATAAGTGTGTAGTCATTTATCGCATATTATGCACACATTAAAAACAAATATATCACACTCTACTTTTTCATGAGTCAAATACTAGGTAAACATAGTTTAAAATTAAAAACAAATTTGACTGTGCTTGCTTCAGCAGCACGTATACTGAAATTGCAATGGTACAGAGATTAGTGTGGCCCCTGTACAAGGATGACATGCACACTCATGAAATGATCCATATCTTACAAATAAATTTGACCATAAAAACAACTGGTTTGGGTTTTGCTTTACAAATTATCTTAATAATTTTTATGATTTATATATAACAGTTGTACATCTTTCTGGAGTGGAGTATAGCTTTTAAAACATGCATACAACGCGTAATGATCAAATCTGGGTAATGGAATACTGTCTGTCCTCACTGGTAGAGTGTAATGGAGGATACCAGAAACTGGGAACAAGTGGAGAGTGGGGGAATGGAGAGAACTTGGTTAACAGATACAAGAGTGCATGTAAATAAGTAGAATGAGCTTATAGAGTGCTATAGCAGAGTGGAGTGCAAAAAATATGGATAACAATTCAATATATAATTCAAAAGAACCAGAAGAGCAGATTTTGAATGTACTTTCTGTTGTTTTAATTTAGAGGAGATTCCAGACAGTTCTTTTCTATAGCTCTTCTTTCCTTAGTTCTATTCCAAAAAAAAAAAAGAAAGAAAACCCACCCCAAGCACTTGCCACTATTAGCAGGAAAGGTGTTAATTGCCTCTTTAAAGCCACTTTGCCTCTAAGTTCACTGACTGCTCTTAATCTCTCTTACCACCCAAACCTTAGAATTCCGGTCTGTCCCAGCCTCAAAATTGCTCTTCTCAAAATGGAAGCCCATAACATTCCTACATCCTTTCAGCAGATGGTTTGAATTTAATCTCTTGGAACTCTGCCCTCCAGAGAAGGTCCTCAGTTTTACAATCTGTCTTCTTACAGAGGACAGGTATATTTCCTTTTGAACGTTAAAAACAAAAGCAAAAAAACCTACCATCCTAAGTAGAATAAGTTTCCAAGAATGTCCCCTGAAACTCCCCTGCAAAACCAAACTAACACTGGGCCAGTGGGGCAAGGGACGCATACTGAATCACCTTCATCACTTTCTGTGGTCCCTGGTTTTCCCTTAGAGGCCTCTTGTAGACGTTGCTTTTAACTGTGGCACAGTCACAGTTATTAAGTGAAGCTGAGGTTTTGCCAACTTTCTGGCTTTGCTGCCCAAATGACTGAATGTTTGGTTGATTATAGCCCTAAAACACCCACACTCTAAGTAGCTTTTAACATTTTTCTCCCCTGGGCAATCACCTGGTATATCTGAACTGAAAGTCTACCACATATAAATTAAGTATTTACTCAACTAACTACTGCTAAAATCAATGGCCTTAAGGAATACATTAAAAATTACATAACAGAGCTTGACTTTTATGAATTAAAACTTCTAAAACGTAAATGCCATACCCTCCTCTTGACCTGGAAAACTGTTTTTAATTTTATGTGTAGTATTTATGGAACAATCCTTAGAAGTAAGCACATTGTTGTTAAATGGCTAACGCTGGAATGCCTGTATGAAATGCTGCGCAGGAAAGGTGAGCTAGAGGAAAGAAAAAATTAAATATATAAATTAAATATTTTATTTTGGTGTGTTTGTGTGTATATATATATATTATATATATATATATATATATAATATATATGTATATATACATGAGTATGTATATGTATCTCAATGTTTAGTAATGTAATGAAGTACACATTATAACCTCTTTCCACCCAAATTGAATAAAATACACTGACAAAGAAAAATTACTGTTTTAAGATTTTTTTTTTTTTGAGAGGATTTGCTATAGGTCACGTGCGCTCACCAGAAAGACAGAGAGAGACAGAGAGATAGAAAGTGAGAAATCACCTCCCAGAGGAGATGGCCATGCCACAATCCCTTCTCCTCCATTCTCCTCTCAGGATCTTGGGAACACATGCACATGTGCCCGGTGTGAGTTTAAGCTACCGGGTCCGGGACTCCAACCATGGTCAACTATATGGGAGTCCAGCAACATAGCTATTATGCTAACTGCTGGTCCCTTAAGCTTTTAATTATAACCCAGCCTAATCAGTCATGATACCAAAGGTAAGAAGGATCAATGTGGCCTAGGGAGATGAGGACAGCGATCTGGAGAAGAGAGCTTTCGCTCCAATTCATGCTCATGTTTCCACAAAGTTTATTACTACAAATTAAGGAATATAGGAAAGAGTAAGAAGTTAGTTTCCTACCTAGACAAGTGATTGTTCCCTCCATGATCTCAAAGACCTGTTACCTAATGACAAAGAAGCAGGCACTAGAAACACCTGAGTCAGGTGTGGAGCCATCGAGGGTAAAAACTGCAGTGAAGGGATTATTTCCAAAACAAAAAGAATATGGTTTCTTCTGGGTCTAAAGAGTTGAATAAGTAGTCAGTTCCCATGACTCCTCAACAACTCACCACCCCAGAAAATGCTTACAATTTGCAGGGCTCTTAAATCCCACAGCAGGGTGAGAAATGTTAAAGTTTATTAGAATATGAAACATGAGAGCATGGATAAAGATCAGGACAATTAGCAAGAAAGTAAAATATTATGCCGACAACTTCTAAGAGGTTTTCTAGCTGGGATCTCTTCAGCCTAAACATTGGTGGTCTTGGCCACGTACCTTAGCTTCAGAAATTAGTTTAAGCAAAAGTTAAAAACCTGATCAAACAAACAAAATAGCAGTCTCAGCTTGGTATCCCGGAATACTACCTCAAAAGCGTATGCATTACTTCCAAGACATAGCTTCTTAACTTTTAATCTTTTAAGTTTCATAAACTTACTATAAAAGGCAAAAACGTAAAAACAAGCAAACAAAAGAAAAGTATATATGGTCATACTATAATATTTTAAGGTATTTAAAGACCTACCTAAGTCTCTTCACGAATCTCACTTAAATTAGTAGACCTCAGCTCTCCAAAATGCCAGGGAGCAGTTAAAAAGTTCCTGAAGGGAACCAGCAATTAGCGTAATGGCTATGTTGCTGGACTCCCATGTAGTCAACCGCGGTTCGTGTCCCGGACCCGGTGGCTTAAAACTCACGCCGGGCGCGTGTGCGTGCATGCCCAAGATCCTGAGAGGAGAATGGAGGAGAAGGGACTGCGGCGTGACCATCCCTTCTGGGGGGTGATTTCTCGCTTTCTGTCTCTCTGTCTCTCTCTGTCTGTCTGGCGAGCGCACGCGCCCTATAGCAAAAACCTCTCGGGAAAAAAAAAAAAAAAGTTCCTGAAGAACTACAGTAGGTTTGAAAGGGCCCATAACAGCCAGGAGTGTGTAGGCAGAGAAAAGCCGTTTAAAGGAGGGACAGCCCCTAAAATGGGTTGAGTTACAGAGCTCTCATCACTTTTGCAATTAGAGAAAATCACTTAACCCCTTTGGGCACTTTTCTACCTCTGTTTTCTTATCTGTTAAAAATTGGAGGAGCCATTTTATAAAATATTGTCATGATGATTAAATGAGGAGATGTGTTTAAAATGCCTGCCGCTGAGGTCTAGTTCAGTAAAGGAAAATTGCTTCATGGTGCTGTATTACTTCAGAAACCATGAAAGTTCTAAAAAGTTGATCATTTTTCATTGTGAGAGTCAAAAACTGCAAAACAATTCAGATGTTCATGATGGACAATGGTTAAATCATTTATGGTATATCCATATAAGGAGAAAGTATGCTGCCACTTACAAAATTAAATCTGTATTTACTGCAGATATTATTATATAGATTAATGCACTAGTCTGATTAGATGTTCAAATACTCTCGTTTAAGTGAAAAAAGCTAATGGTAGAACAATATAGATGGTATTCTATCCTATGATAGCCACAATTTATATAAGAATTTCCTACTTATGCACATTTAGATTAATTTCCATTTTCCCTCCAGTTTAATTAACAGTCTACAGCCATGTTCTGATTTTCATTTTGCTTTATCAAAAGACATATGGTTTATTAGGCTTTACAGAGATATTGTCAAACTGCTTTTCAAAATGCCCTATTTACTTCATATACTTTTTAAATTTTGTTAATACTATAGCCTAAATATGTTTGGAGTCATTTTAATTTGCAGTTATTATTATTACTAGAAATGAATATTTCTTTCACATACAGATTAGTATTTTTATTTCTTCTTTTGTAACTGTTATTGCCTTATGCCCACTTTTCTATAAGGTTTTAGTGGAATTTTTTTTTAGAAAGATTTTTGTTGTAGGATGCACGTGCTCACCAGAGAGACAGAGAGAGACAGAGAGACAGACAAAGAAAGAGAAAGCCAAAAATCACCCCCCGGGGAGAAGGCTCTGCCAGAAGCTCTCCTCCATTAGGGTATGCGCACACATGTGCCTGGCATGAATTTTAATCTGCCAAGTCCGGGACTCAAACTGCAGTTGACTACGTAGGAGTCCAGCAAAGTAACCACTGCACCATCTGCTGGGCCCTTTAGTGGAATTTTAAAAATTTGTTTTATAAGTATTCTGGTTGCAAAAGGTAGAAAATCTTTGGCTATCATAGTTTTTGTGATCTGTCTTTTAATATTTATAATAGTTTGGGGCATACAAAAATTTTACATTTTTACAAAGTCCAAATTATCCATTTCCCTTTGTGATATCTTTCCTTATTTCTATCTTTAAAAAGATTCCCATACTAAGATCAGAAAAATATGTACCTGGTGGTATGTTGGTTAAGGCACTGTTCTACCTTATGGTCAACTGCAGTTTGAGTCTTGGACCCAGTGGTTTGGAAAACATGCCAGGCACATATGCATGCATGCCAAAAATCCTGAAAGGAGAATGGGAGAGAAGGGACTGCAGCATGGCCATCCCTCTAGGGGTTGATTTCTTACTTTCCCTCTCTCTCTGTCTCTCTCCATTTCTCTGGAGAGCACATGTACCCTCTGGCAAAAATCTAAAAAGTAGGAAAATAATAAAAATATTTACCTATATTTTCTTCTAAACTTGTTTATGGCCATATATATACACATATGCATTTAAATCTGTAATCCTTTTGGTATTTAATGGAGTAAAATTGGAGTCATTTTACTTTATTCCATCAATTATTATTTTTTGGTAATTTGTTACTGATGAGTCTTATCCCAATATCTTGCTTTACTCGTATTTTATATTTAACATGGAGTCACAGCTCTCCTGGTACCTAATAATGACTTTAGGAAGAGGCCTTTTAGCAGCTCTTTAGAGTGCTGTGAATTCAAAGTGAGAGCTTCTTAAGTGCTGAATTTTCTCCATCTCCTACATTGTTATTACTGCTATATATGTCATTGCTTTTTCTTTTGGAGAGTTTTTGCTATAGGGCGCATGCAATCACCAGAAAGACTTAATATTAGTCTAAGGTTTTATGTTGCCTAAAAATCTTGGGAAGTATATATAAGCTGGCATACTTTTAAAAATATTATTATTGAAATAAAGTTGTCAGAATAATGATTTGATTTAGTTGAATACAAATTTACATTTTTCATGATCTTAAATACTACGTAAGAGTAATGTTTGTTCATTCGGTCAGCATACCTGAATAAGTTTAAGAAAAACAAGCCTAAGTATTGGGTTGTCAGAAAAGTCATAACATGTTTTTTCTGTTTCTCTATCCAAAACGCATCATGACTTTTCTGACAACCCCATAGAGTACAATGTTGCTTATATTATATTTCATGCTGATAAATCAGAGGACATAGCTATTTCTATTAAACCGAAATTATTATGCTAGTCTCATTTACCAAAGATTTACTATTATTACATGAACTAAAATTTTCAAAAAATTCTTAGTATCTGTTAGAATAATCTTTTTGGTATAGCACATTTAAAGTATCATAACTTTAACTTCCTCATTTTCCTAGTTCATGAATATTTGATTTATATAAGAACTTATTTATGTAAGAACTCTACAACCAATCAGAACAGTTTCTTGGAGACATTTAAATCTAATTTATTATCCTCCAAAGATAGGAAAATATTATGCATTCATACAGAAAGAGATAAAGGTCTCTATAAATCAAAAACATGTTGACACAGATACAGAAACAGTTTATAACTTCAGACCTAAACATGAGCCACAGGTCAAAAGTAAACACGCAAAGAAATCAGCAGTCCATATATCAAAGAGTTGTTTTCTTTCCTGGTGGGCACACAATTCTTGAACTCAAAATAGACAAGTAGACACACAATAAAATATTAATTAAAAAAAGCTGATCTTCTATTGTTTCTTATCCAATAGAGAATAAATCTCTGTAATCCATTAATCCTCTTACAGAGATCACAAAGCTAGGCCATAAAGACAAATTCTGAATCACTGACACCAGTATGGAATAATTTATTAATTGTAAAAGTTTCAAAGATAAAAGTAGTAAAGAGAAAAGTATGCAAGGAAGCAGAGGCTTGCCAAAGTTAAAGCTTTTTCCTACTGGGGAATACCCCTGGGAACCTGAATTTAAGCCACCGGAGGTACAATATTCCTCCAACAGGGCAAGTTACTCAGCCATCAGAGGACTCTGTTGGGTATTGGTAGAAGAACCTCAAAAATGATTACAAAGTCATTTTCCTAAAAAGCATATAATCATAATTCTCCTACAGATAGAAAATGAGTAGGCCAAAGATTTCATGTAATTAATTAGAGAAAAAAAAAGAGTACAATATTATAACCTATTCAAAAGAGAATCAAAGGGTACAACATAAGAGAGGTCTTCACAAAGTTCATGGAAAATGCATATTCTAAAAAAGATTACATGGATTTCAAAAATATTTTGCACCAAAATAAACTTGCACTTTATTTCCATTTTCCATGAACTTTTTGAAGTAATTTTGTATATAGGGAATAAAGAAAATTGAAATAGATGAAAACTAGGTCCCTATACAAAGCAATGACTAATTAACTGCATTCCACTGGGCATAATTAAGCTGCATCTTTGTAGACAAAATTATTTTGCATTATTATCAGATTGTTTAAACAACTTAATGAGTTATAAAATAGTACGAAACAATAAAAAGCAGAAATAACCTAGATAGGGTACCAATTTGGACACTGACTTTTTTGTTGTATCCATTTAAAAGACTTTATTACTATTTTCCTGACTCTATATAGTGAGAGATGGATACAAAATATTTCTTATCAATTAACACAAGAAATTAAATACTATGAGAAAAAAAAGATACCAAAGCTTCTCTCTGTCCTTAGTTCTAATTTTCTTATCATCTATTCCTACAATAGAGAAAGAACTAACATCGTTTGTACATCAAATATGTGAAAAGACCCGATGACTTATATTTCTAATTATAGACATTGTGCAACTCTTCTAAAATCCTTTTCTTCTATTCTGAGAACTAACCTCATCCAAATTTCTCTTTTTTCTCCTTATCAATACTACAGTAACAAATACTTGTTCCACTAGAGCTACCTAGGAGTGTATCAATACTCTATCCTGGATTAAGATAAAAGGACCAAATCTTTTTAAATAATTACAGTTTGAAGGGAAAGAAGAAAAATAATCAAAGTTTGGAAAAGATGAGAAAGAAACTTTTTGTGAATCTTACAAAAACGAGGTACTGCCACAGATCTGAGCCAGTTACAAACTTAAGACATTTTTAATGAGACAAACTCGAAATCAAGATAGGACTTCTTTTGAATTATTATCCTGAAATCACATGTGTTTATAATACTCTTCTATAGGAATTCTGTAGAGTTAGTGACTCACCAGCTTCAGCAGAATTTAGACAAGCTCAAGCCTGGGACACTGCTTTGATCCTAAAGTTCTTTTCAGTAATGTCACAATGCACGGACTGAAAGCTCCTAATAAAAATCATCATTGCTCCTGAGAAACAGAATCTATGGGGAAAACATGTAAATGTCTCCATGGAAACAAGCTTTTTAGCTCTGTTTTCTACAATACTCAAGCAAAAACCAAAACAAAGCAAGCAAAAGAATTCATTTAATGCCAATTATTTTACATGAACCTAACACAATTTATATCTTTTAGGCTCTACCAGGTGACAACTCTACTAGAATCACGATCAAGACAGAACTCTACATACAAGCCGTCATTTTTGACCATATTTCCAGAAGGAAGACTTAACTACCTATATGCTAGATGATAACTTACTTGTTTGTTAAATTTAAATGATTTCTGTGGCCAGAAGCAAATTTAAATAATAAATCGGTATTGTTGAAAAGTAAATTAAAATAGTAAATATAAAAGTTCACTTTAAAAATTAGAACAAAAACTATTATCTTTTAAAATTTTTTTTCATGAGCTACAAAGAGACAGAGGGAAAGGCAAACACTTTCAAAAATGTCTCACACCAAGATCCTCCCCCAGGGCCTTCCCAGCTCACCACCATTGCGTGCCTACACATGCATGCCCAGCATATACAGATCAACCCAGAAACTGAACCGAGTCTTCCATATGACTTCCAGCATTGCAAAGTAGTACACTTCCACTGTACCACCATGGCTGGGCCCTGACTGTTCTTTTATTGTATAGTGGCCTCTTAATTTAATTTGAGGTTTTTCTAATTTTTTCCTAAACATTGAAGCTGATTGCAACAGTTTATGAGAGAGAATCTTGCTTCAACTTCAAAGATACAGTAATTGGTGACATATTTTGCAGCTCAGATTTTCCAAAACAAAAATGTTCCAGGTCCTACTATATTGCAAAATCTTGTGGACCAATCATTATGCCATGTGGCAATGCTAGCTCCTCAAATCATTGACTATTGATAAAGGGTCCAAAATTGGAGGATAGACATAAAATAAAAATACAAAATTTCCAATAGTACTAAATGAGTAAATAAAATCTGAAATTTTCCAGAGATGATGTCTAAAATGAATAAAATACATTTTTTGTGCCTGGACAATATGATTGTCAGGGCTGTGAATATGAAGAAATACAATCTAAGGAAGCAAGATCTGGGAGAAATGAAAACTTCATAAGAAAAATAAACATGCTTTCCTAAAGTGTCCTAAAGGTGCCTTTGGTGTACAAACTATATTATTTAGAAGCCACTTTTTATTAGTATTTGTTTTTTTCTCTTCTTATTCAATTCTCTTTCCTTTCTAAGCAGTACAGTACTGAGGTAATTAAGGGGCAAGCAAGGTGTGTATCTGCTCAGTTGTGGGGATGGGGGAGTTCAAGTGGAATAGAAAGTTCAAGTGGAATAGAATATTCTTGGGGGAGGTGATCTAGCTTGGCATGAGATGTCGGATTTCAAGCAGAATGAGTAGAGTGGTGTTAAACTGGGATTGGATGTATCTCTGTTATCTCATAGTTTTTAATATATACAATATATACAACAGATATGGACTATATGTGTGTGTTTACAGGTTCCCTCACTCTCTCCACTGAGAGGACCACAGCCAGCAGCACTCCAGTGTCAGTCAGCTCACCTAGTGCCCGGATGCTAGATTCTTAATACCAGTTTTCACTAAAAGGAAGCAAGGATCCTTGGAAAAATTACTATATCAAGGTAGAGGCAGGGAAAATACAAGTCTGGTGTATCTTTTTGTGCCAGAAAGCAAACAGGTTCTCAAAAAATAGAAGGGAATTTATCAAAAGGCCTCGGGACTCATTTGAAAGAATTCCAACTAGCCAGAATAAAATGGTTTGGCCATCAAACTAAGTAATGATAAAAATGGAAATAAAATAGAGGACGAGCAGTTGTCATAATGGCTATGTCACTGGACTCCCATGTAGTGGAATGTGGTTCGAGTCCCCAACTCAGTGACTTAAACTCACACTGGGTGCCCGTGCGTGCGTGACCACGATCCTGAAAGGAGACTGGAGAAAGGATTGCGGTGTGGCCATCCCCCCAGGGGATGATTTCTTGCTTTCTGTCTCTCTGTCCCTCTCTGTCTACCTGGCTAGTACACGCACCCTATAGCAAAAATCTCTCTCTCTAAAAAAAAAAAAAAAAAAAAAAAAAAATAAAAAAAAAAAAAAAAAAAAAAGTAATGAAATAGAAAACCATGAGTCTGTACTGACCTACACATTAATAAACTGAAACTTTGATGAGGAAAATTATATTTGCACAGTATCTCTCCCAAAAAATATTAATTACAGAGGGAACAATGAAAATGGCCAGCACACACTTTCAGCAAGTAATGAAGGAGAGTATTCTAATAATGAAGAATTTGTACCCTACCAACTGAGATGTATGTCTCAAGGAGTCCAGTATCACATCTCAAGTTAGAAAGGCCTGGCTTATGACACAGAGGATCTCAACATCCCTTCTGTAATAGTCCTCACGTTGTACAGCCTGAATCTAATAAAAAAATCTCAGACACACCTAAATCGAGGAACATTATACAAAATAACTTTTGAATAATATTCAAAAGCATTAAGATCATGAAAGTGAAGGTAAGACCAAGGAGCTGTCTCAGACTGAGGGAGAATAGAAAGACAAAACAACCAAATACAACACGAGATTCTGAGTTTATTCATGGAGTATTTGGAGACAGTTGGGGAAAACCGGATGGTTTCCGAAGAGTCGATGGCAGTAAGATAAAACAATGCTGACTTCCTGATTTTGATGATTATGATTATGTAACAGAATGTCCTTGATCATAGGAAATTAAAGAATTTGAGAGTCACAGGGCATCTTGTTGACAGATAATTTATAAATTATTCAGAGGAATTATTTTTACTGTCCTTGCTACTCTTCTGTAAATCTTAGATTGTTTTATAATAAAATAAATATCTGACTTCTTACATAATATAAATTCAAAATCTTAGGTCTTACACTTTTAGTATGACATATAAATTTTATTATTCTGTCTATAAATTTCCCCAAGTATTAACAGTCATTATTATGGGTCTTTCTACAATTTAATTAACTAAGTTCCTTCAAACTCTTTAAAGTTCATTCATAAATTTTGTTATAATCAATTTTTAAGAACTTTGGATTTTTAACAAATTAGCCTTTCAAACATTTATATAATTATTTTAAACCTAAGAAATTAAACATAAATGTAATGACTCTCCTTTGGAAGAACATTTTGTTCTCCCAAATGCTCCAATGTGCTTTGCAAATTTATAAAATTTCCATTTAAGATCATGTGAGTCAATTATTTAAATCTGACATTTTAAGTTGTAATAGCAAGTTATCTGTTAGTCTACTAAAATGCCAATTTCTCTTAAAAGTAACTCTTAAGTATTTTATTTTGTTATTTATTTATTTATTTTAGAGAGATTTTTGCTACAGGGTGTGTGTGCTCACCAGAGTGACAGAAAGCAAGAATTCACCTGCTAGGAGGGATGGCCATACCCCAATCTCTTCTCCTCTATTCTCCTCTCGGGATCTTGGGCATGCAAGCACATGTACTTGGCGTGAGTTTAAGCCACTGGGTCCAGGGCTTGAACCACAATCTACTTGATGGGAGTCCAGCAACTTAATCAGTATGCCTTCTGCTGGTTCCACAGTATTTTAAAAATAGGTATTTATAATATTTAATATAGGGCCAACCAGTGATGTGGTGGTTAAGGTAACTGGATGCCACATGGCTGTACGGTTTAAGTCCTGCACCCTTGGCTTGAGAAACACACTGGCTGCATGTGCTTGCATGCCCAAAATCCCAAGAGAAGAATGGAAGAGAAAGGATTGCAGTGTGGCCACTCCCTATGGGGGGTAATTTCTTCCTTCCTTCTTCCTCTCTCTCTCCCCCCAAACCCCTCATCCCTCCCCACAAGCATATGCATCTTCTAGCATATATATTTTTTTTTCCTATATTTAATCCCAGGGTTTAAAACAACTAAAAATTAATTGTATTATCACAAGTGATTTTTATGTGTTAGTTTCTGAACTGGATTTACTGATAGAAAATACTGTCTAGAAATTCGATGCGGGTTATGGGATGTCTTAGTTGACTTGCTTTAACTTAACAAAATACCACAGACTGGGTTGCTTAAACAACAGAAATTTCTTTTCTCACATTTCTAGAGTCTGAAAAGTCTGCAATGTGATGGCAGGTTTGTTTTCTTCTAAGGCCCTTCTCTTTGCCTTGCAAATGGCTGCTGGAGACCAGACAGACAGTGATGAGGGAGTAAAATGCAGTGCTCTTTGAGGGAATCCCACATGTCATGGTTCCTGGTTCAAGCCCAGAGATCTCCCTGAGTACGCCAGGCACATGTTTGTCCATGATCCGGAGCTAGTTTAGGCTGAGCGTGGATCGAGGTTTCAAAATCCTATCAGGGATGCTGTCTCTCTCTCTTTGAAGAAATAAATAGACTTTTTTTTCAAAAGAGCAGAAAACCGTGCTCCATGAGTCCAGTGTACACTAACAGTAATGTTGACATGAAGCTAATGGTTGAACACAGGGCATGTGTAAAAAAATGTATGTTATAATCTGCAAAAAAAGGAACAGTGGGCTAAAGAGATAGAACCAAAGAGTGAGTTAGGAAATGGAAGGGAAATGAAACAGAAATTTGACAATACAAAAAAAGAGTAAAGAGTGCTAAGAATCAAATCACTCAGCAAGCCAAAGTTATCATGGGCCAAATTGCTTTATCATGCCAGTCTCTGGCTCCTGAAATGTCCTTCAAAAGTCAAAATGTCTATGATTTCTTCTTGGCTGTTTCTAATCTCTTTATAGACTCCTTCAGCGAAAGAAAATATAGCCTTGTGAGTTAAATGTCATCTTCTCCTCAAATCCTAGTTGAGGTATATTGTTTAAAATTCTGGACACTAGTGGCAGAAATCCAAGTTAAGCCAATCTTTGTGGCACAGTATTCACATGCCAGACTGCAGAGCTAGAAGCTGCATAGCCACCACAGTCTGAGCCCCTGCTTAGCCAGCCTGAAGACACTCTACACACATGCATGCTCTGGACTCTTACAAGCTGGAGGACTAGACGAAAAGGACTGCAGTAAGACTAGACTCTGCAGAAAGTCTCTCTTTCTCTGTATCTCTCTTTTTCTCTCTCCATCTATCCTACTACACCACCACCCCCTCTCCACCTCTCTCTTTTATCCCAAGTCCAGAATCCCAGACAAGGGACACAATGCAGCTTCAATCAGGAGCCCAGTTCTCATGAAAATTTAAAATTGGAACTAGTCAGGTTGTGTAGAATTATGTCCCACAT